GGGGAGGGGAAGACGGAGGAAGAAGGGAGCAAAGCGAACATCAGAGCAGCAGCAATGAGGCCACTGCTATCAAGAGGAGCATTTAGGGAGGGTGCCACGGCCCATGTCCTCGGGTCTAGGGTCCACAAGCTCCTTTCTCTTAGCAGTTCCTCTGTCCTTGTACTCTTCTTGTGAATCTCTCACCGCTTCCTACACTCTTGTAAGTAAAGGAGATTCCCTGGGTGTTACAGTGATTCAGCGCTGGACTGATAGCAGTTAGAGCTCACCAGCAACTCCGCAGATGAGGTGCTCCCATGCAGATCCCAGCCTAGGAGGCACTGCGGCAGTTCTAGTCTGTGACTGGGGAGTTCTGAGCTGGCGCTGACTCGTTGCCCCTTCTAACAACCAGGTGAGATAAACAGTTAACATGCTCAGCTACTATCTGAAAGACTGGAGGTTTGAGTGGATCTCGGCCAGTGTTCTCAACCTTCCTAATGCCTCGACCCTTTCAAACAGTCCCTCGTGTGTAGTGACCTCCAACCATAAACTTATTTTCGTTGCTACTTCATAACTATCATTTTGCTACTGTTATGAATCCTCATGTCAATATCTGATATGCAGGATGTATTTTTATTGTTACACATTGAACATCATTAAAGCATAGTGATTCATCACAAAAACAATATGTAATTCTATATTGTGAAATATTTATTTCTAATGACAAAGAAATGAAATTTTGTCTTGAAGCGTGGTGTAGCATGGCTAACAGTCTTCACGTCGGTACCCATCTGTGGGCGTGTCTGCATGTAGGCAGACTCACCTGGAGACGGATAGAGAAGTGGTGTGTCGGTTGGTTCTTAAGACCATCAGAAATATGTGTTTTCAGATGGTCTTAGGTGACTCCTGCAAAGGGGGTCACGACCCACAGGTTGAGAACCGCTGGTGTAGGCCCTGGTGGTAGAACAGTTATGAACTGGGCTGTGATCTGCAAGGTCCGCAGCTCAAAATCACCAGCTGCTCCTCTGGAGAAGTGCAGGGCTTTCTTCTTTCACAACGCGTTACACAGACTTGGAAACGCACAGAGCCACCAGGAGTCAGCCTTCGGAGGTCATGTGAGTTTCAGTAGTCATACTTTATCAGCAAAGCATTACAGACACCCCCTTTTCAGACAGTATTCCAGGCACACAGTTTAGTGGGGTGATATTCTCATTTTCCACCGTTTGGGAATCTCTTTGGGCTTGAATGACACTGACAACTGAGTTCATTCTCTTACAGATGCAGAGGAGCAAGAGAGCCGAGCGAGGAAGCCAAAGGCAGGAGAGGGACACGCAGCCTCCAGTGTCCTAGGACAGCCCCTGCCTTTCTGGGGCCGTGCACGGTTGCAAGTACTTTACATATTGGATCGTACATGTTTAGTCATCTGATAAGCAAGCTCTGTGATGATCTCCATTTTACTGAGACCCAGGGAAATGGACTTGACATAAGCTGTGCAGTAGTGACGGGGCTGGGATCGGTGCTGACTTAGTTTGGCCTCCAATCCCTTAATGACTACGCCATACAGCTTCTGAATAGAGACACACAACAAGATAAACACAAACACACCCGGGAGAGGGGCGGGGGAGCAGCACGTGCATGTTTTTTCAAACATTAGAATGTAAAAAAAAACTCCCATAAAGCAGAACACGCTATAAAAAAGAAAGGCAGTGCAGACAGGGTGATGTGCAAAAGAGACCCAAAAAATTGGTATACAGACATCTAGAACTTCTGTAATTCAATAAAAGACCAACAGCCGGGAATGAAAACAGTCAGGAAGAGCAGCAGGTACTTCACAGAAGAGGAAACTCAAATGGCCTCTAACCATGAAAAGAGGCTCAAACTCACCAATCACCAAGGAAATGCCCATCCATTAGAGCAGAGAGCTGAGCAACCCAAACCCCTAGGGAGTTACGGGCACTCTGCTTGCGTGTCGCAGGTACTTGGCAACTAACTGCCAATAAAGAGTTTCAAACTACTTTGGTAACCTTGGAGCTTCAGGTTTTGAGTTTTATGTTTTTAAGTTATCATTTGGCCCAAAACATAAAACCATATATAACGCTTCTTCCCCACCACTGTTACGGCCCCCATTCTACCTTACAAATCTGGGTAGACACTAGTACAGATAAGAGCTGGAAACACAGGGAATCCAGGACAGAAAAACCCTAAGGACCACTAATGAGAGTATTGATAACAGGAGGGGAAGGGGAAGGTGGGGGGAGAAAGGGGCAACCATCACAATGATCTACATATAACCCCCTCCCTGGGGGGCAGATGACTAAAAAGTGGGTGAAGGGTGTGTTGGTCTGGGTAAACTAGGGAAACAACTCCACAGAAACCCTTATGTATAAGAGACAGTTTTATATAAAGGGTAAGTGTACATTAAGAAAGTATCCCAACCCTGTGCTGTCCAAGCCCATAGTCCAACATTAGCCCATATGTCTGACACCAATCTACAAAGTCCTCCTCAATCTCACAAAACACATTCAATGACACCGACTGCAGGA